GATGCTCCGCCGAGAGAAGCTGATGCTTGAAGCGGATCTTGTCAAATATGCCAAAGGTCTCGGCGTACTTTAACAGATAGTCATGCAGCACTTGGCCGGGAATGTGATCTCCGGGCAAGATCCCGAAGGTCTCCGGATCCATGGGGAAGTCGGGGTACTCGTAGGTTCCGAGCATGTTGTTGCTCTTCAGCCCCGGGTAGAGACGGTGCTCGGCCCATACTCCGCCGGCGGTCGAGGCTTGCTCAAAGAGTGCCAGCGAGTGTTGGGGATGGAGCTGGTGGTGAGTCTTGGCCGCCGCTAGACCGAACCATCCTGTAGACTCGGCTTCAGATTGTGACCTTCGTTGGTGGTTTAGGGGGATGTTACTCACCGGCTCCGATAACAACGAAGTCGAGAGTCTCCATTGTGTAGAGCGGGATCGGTTCCGAGCCCCCGAGGTCGATGCTTCTGAGACAATTGGACAAATATTTTTTCGAGGCGTTTATTTCGAGGCGAAGATCCCACCAGTGCGGGAAAAGGGTTGGGCATGCCTTCCTCGCATTCTGAATTGCGAATAAGCACTAGAATTCTGTCAGAACCCCTGGCCTGCAGACGAATATGGGAATATTGGGTCTTTCTTGGCCAGCTGCATTAATGATTGATTTGGCGTTGGTTGGTCTTCTGGCATCTGCATCCTTCGTGGATTTGGGTTCCATATCCGAAAGGCCAACATTGAGTGCTGATTCGTCAATAGTCGGGAATTCTGCATGCCCCCCTTGCTGTTTCCATCTCCCACGGCATTTACCAATTCTTCAAGAAGTTGTCCATCAATTTGCCGGCCGGCGACTTGCAGTGGAGCAGCATTGTCCGAGTATGAGCATCCTGCTAGCTGAAAAATAGCGGCACAAATAGTGATCAAGGCTCAAGCCTCAAAGAATCCCGTACCTATGAAGGATCTTGATGGGAACTGCGCTCAGGCGGAGTCAAGGATGCCCTGACGTCTAGACCCAGCCGGAGGCGTTCCCCGGATGACAAGTTGCTGTTAGCACAAGATAAAGACCCACTGAACTACTACGTAGATGGGATGGCAGCAGGGCCGTTGACTCGTGGTGGACTCGTGGCGGAGGAGGACTGCCTGTCACGTCTAATTCGCCGGTTGCGCAACACTGACAATTTGACAAGGAGGCTGTTTATGGCAGATCGAACTGCGTCGGTTTGGGAGGTTTGTGGTCATGACCAGCATAGAGGTGAGTAAGGATGCTTTTTGACTGCAAGATGTTGAAGTTTGCTGAAGCCAGATGCTCGTGCCGAAACAATGTTTCTCCAGGATGAACCCCTTGGGGTACCGTCGCGGCGGTACGTAGTTTAACAACCTCAAGACGGTTTAAACCTATGGGACGGTAAAGTGCAACAAGTCATCCATTTTCGGGATACAAGCACGACCGCTAAGCATCTCTGTCCGACTGTCGCTCTTCTATTGGAGACTTCTTCAACGCAGGTACCACTCGTCATTCTGAAGATATCCACAGTCGTTGACACGGCTCGCAAGGGTCCTATCCCCGGCGCCGCGCTTTCTGACCCCAGGTGTTGGCCCACGGCCATGTAACCCTCGCGAGTCAAGGCCGTGCCCCTGGCCCATAACACTTCTAGCCAACGACAGACTAACAATTCGACAGGGCTGCTAGTTGATGTTCGGAACTTCCGTAATATCAGATATGGTGTAAACGGTCACTCTTCTGGGACACAAGACTCATGTCAAGATATCTAGCAAAAGATCACGAAAATATGACCAGTATTCAGGCCTGGAAAAGGGAAAGGGATAAATTAACTGAGATGTCACAGACAAGTTAAAGCCTGGTTCTGAGGCGATGGTCGCGCAGGATAGCTCCAGCGCTGAAGCATAAGCATGGATGTGCTTTCAAGAGGGTCGTGTTTGCCTTGCCATCACGCTGAGCTAATGATCTGCCGACATTGTCTACGTGCATTAGCATTGGGATTGGTCGTATTGGGCATCATTATGGTGGCAAAGGCCGACGCTTGACCATATCGGTAGTCTGGACCTTCGACGAGCCGCATCGATGTCGGCCAGAAGTCTGTTAGCTTTCGATCAAATGCCATCAAGATAACATATCCGCCGTTAGTGCTTTCTCCTGAACATAGCGGCGAGCCCATTTCGGCAACTTATCGTAATATGGAATAGTCCACATGCTGTCTCAGCCTCTCTGCCTGACAGCTGGTTGATTACCTATGCACTCCGTACAATTATGTATCCGTACAGCAGACAATTGACCGGCGCAAAATCTACTCTGAAATTGGCCGGGGATTCCAAGTCGCTGGCCCGGGCTTCTTATCGTCCGAACTCCTCGCGCTTGTTCGTCTCAATCATCACCTTCATCATCATCACCGGTTCCGTCAGCCGTGTGTAACCAAACCACCCACTAGCTATTCGCACGTACTTTGGGTTTGCTAGGGCATGTAGTTTGTGTTTCAGCGAGGGGAACGGATATGCACGTAAGCGCACCCTTTCCCAGCACTTCCCACGAGCCGCCCATGCCGCTTGTGTCCAAGTCAAAGTCTCCGCGGTGACGGGGGAATGCGACATAAGTATCGACATGCGTACGCCTCCCATCCAATTCCGGGACCCCGGTACCTTGCCCTTGCTGGGTTCATTCTGTAGTAGCTGCGATCTGCATAGCTGAAAGGCAGGGCCCTCGACGACCTATTCCCCAAAAGTCTTATCTGGGTTTCACTGCTATATACCTTGCCTGCTCTACGGAGTACTCCACCTGGCATTACTCTTGAAGACGACTTTTCCCCTTCTTCTCTACTCCATGCTATTAGACTCGTCGACTTCCTGCACCACGCGGGGTATCCGGTTGACATGATCCCAACGACATGTCCGAATTCTCGACAGAAGCTTTCGCGCTTCTTGGCGTAGCCATCGCCGTCATCTTCTTGAGGACCTATGCGCGAATTGCCGCTGTTGGCTTCAAGCGTCTGCAGGCAGATGACTATCTCATGCTATTTATCATTGTAAGTCTCTCGATAGCTGTTGACCGGTATGAGTACGAGATACTGACTGGAATGCATAGTTCACGTACTCCGCCGAGACTGCTTTGGCGTACAGCGTCGGAGCGCATTGGAAGGGACTCGCCAACAATGGCATGACGGATGAGGAGCGGAGAACTTTGGACCCAAACAGCGAAGAATATTCGACAAGGTAGGCGATGAAAAGTGCTATGTTTTGAGGCAATGGTCTAATATCATACTCGCAGGGTCAACGGATCGAAGACACAAATCGCGGGATGGATTACTTACAGCTGTCTCGTCCTCTGGCCTGCAAAGGCTGCAATGTGCACGTTTTACCTGCGCCTAACAGTATGGAGCCCGTAAGAAATCAATCATGCGCTTTCAAGCTGACGAGTCGCTCAGGAGGGATTGCATAACTTTCGCAAGCGGATCATCGCGGGTTTCGTTCTGATCGCGATAACATGGCTGGCAGTATTGTTTTCCATCACCTTCAGCTGCTTTCCGATAAGCAAAAATTGGCAAATCTACCCAGACCCTGGCAGTAAGTACCGCATAACTCTCTCATATGTCAATGACTAAAGGGCAGCCAGACTTTTGCCAGCCGGCCATTTCAAAAGTCAACATCATCGTCACCGTCTGTCTCAATGTCATCACGGATTTCTACCTGCTAAGCATACCGATACCGATGCTGTGGAGCGCCAGGCTACCCCTGAGACAGAAGCTCGGCCTCATTGTCCTGTTCTCGGGAGGTATCTTTGTAACTATGGCTGGTATCCTACGCTGCGTGCTCATCATCACGGTAGGCCAATCCTCATGTGATACATACGGGACTCGATGGCTGACTTGTGCGCATCGTAGAACCCTGTCACAGGAGCGCAGCAGGCAGGTTCGTGGGCCGTCCGCGAGACCTTCGTCGCAATTGTCACCACCAACATCCCGATGATCTTCCCCCTACTTCGACGCTGGCTTACACCCATCTTCGGCTCCATATCGAGTACCCTATCACGAGGTGGCACCAACAACAAGTACGACAAGCCTAACCGTTCCGACCTACCGGCGCCCGGGAGCATCATGCTTGGAAGTGTGACTGAGGGCAGCAGTAATAAGAAGAAGAACCGGCCGCCATACACGCAGTATCCGATTACAGAGTTTACGATGTCCGGGAGCGAGGAGCACCTGAATAAGTCGCCACCTTTGCCGGGAGGCATCAGCAAGAATGTGGAGATACATATCAAGGAATCGAAAAGGGCTAGTGAGAAAGATTCATCGAGTACAGACAGCAATATCGAAGGCCGAGACGCATACTTTACGGTCGAGGTGAATGGAGTTGAGAGGCCAAAAGCAACGAGGAGTAAGAGCTATCGAGAAAGCATGCGATCTACGTTCTCAGCGGGCGGTAACAGGAAAGACGACGGCATTGTATAATATGCCTTAATATGGAATTAATCACATGATATCACCGCCGCACTTTTATAGTGATCATTCAAACGATTCAAACGCCAATAGTATGGAAGTGTTTGGTAAAAGGCGAAATGACTTGGGGTCGGCCACCCCTTTCGCTGAGCATTGCGTTGCTAATGATTGACAACGCCCTCGTGCACTGACTTGCCATAGGTTGAATATACCGGCGAGAGAGACTGGACAAGGGATCGTGACTTGAAGAGTTGAAAAAGTATGACTTTTGGCTCTTCTCTCCAAACGCAGTAGAAAACTTGCTTCACCTCCCTATCCAACATCATCCTCCTGGACTACAATCAACTCAAGTTCCTTCAATCCCTATACCATTTTTTTCTGCAGTTTAAAATAACTAGCATCGATCGCACCGTATCGGATCCATTCCACGGTCTCAAACCCAGCAGTGGTTTTCGCGACAAAACGCACAAAACCTCCTCGCATCAACCACCACCACCCCGCCATTCCGATCTAACAGGTTCCTACAGAAACACTCCCCGCAACGACACCGCTGAGGCTGCCACGGGGTATCACACGTATCAACCCGCGAGGCCTGTAAAGCGGGAGGGGTCAGTATCCTGGCCCGAAGGTGCGGGTTGCCTGCCTGACGACTGAGGCGGAACGGCAAGGCGGGTAGATGAGCGTGTACTGAGGGCGGAGGTGGCGATGGAGACGGAGCCTGTTGTCGGCGCAGGGGTGGCGTCGGGGGTCGAGCTGTTGCGCTGCGGTCGTTCATGTCCTCTGAAGATGAGGATAGGAATGGAGAGGTGAGGGGGGATGATCCGGGTGTTGAGCGGACGTAGTCGGGGATGTGGTTCCGGGGGTGGCGGTGGCGATGGAGTTCCGGGGTTATGGAGTCGTCGCTGAAGGAAGGGGATTGTGATGTGAATGTTTCGGATGCGGGGGTCGGTAGGGACGTCCAGGACGACCCACTTACCCACTGGGTTTCGGGGAAGACTGGCGAGGGCTGCTCGTCGTTCTCGATGCTTGGGATGATATCGAATGACGTCTCTGTTGGTTCTTCTCTCTCGGGGCGTAGTCTGGACCTATGGGCGTCTCTCCATGGAGAGGGTAGATAATGGGCTGGGAGACGAGCGCGTTGTGTGGTCTCCCAGTACGAGGGGCCGGGAGGCCAGTGGATGTATGACTGCGTGCTGTGACTGTGCTCGTCATCGCTGTTGTCTCTGTCATATCTTGGCGCTGCGTAGCCCAGGTAATCGCATCGAGGATCTTCGAACGTCTCTTGTTCCTCATAGTGGGAGTTTGAAGGATGAGGTATGTTGCCAAAGAAGGGTGAGCCCTGCGACGGTGGAAATGGGCTGCGGGCCGGAGACGAGAGTTGAGGGTGACGGTTGCGGCGGTGGGTATACATCGTGCCTCTGTTTGGCCGGTTTGACGGAGGCGTGTAGAGAATTCGGTCTCGTTCAGTATCTCGGGAATCAGTCAGAACTATAGTGCTTGATTTACGGAGGCATAACCATTAGGTAGGTAGGCTAAAGATCCTCTTTTGTATCATGATATCTCAGGAAATCAATAGCCAGTGATTCACAACAAAGTAGGACTCCCATGTAACAACGCGCTTTAACAAGCAAGACTTCGTAGTGATTAGGATATAACTACGGTATGCCAGAAGATTGATTCATCGTTTCGGTCGGGGGCTCGGAAGTTTGGTTGCTGGTGTCACGTCAACCTGAGACTGCCTTGGTTTGCCGTATCGTCAGGCGTTAAGTATACTGTCAGAGACCCAGGTTTGAAGAGTGTTTGCATCCTACAGTTAGTCATCATGCTGCTATTGTTTGGGAGGAAAGCCCAGGGATCATCGCCAAGTTCATCGGCATCGAAGCAACCGGACATCCATTCCAAGCTTGTACCAGATGCTGGTGAAGTTGTGAGGTTTCAATTCGAGAAAGCATGTTAGCCAAGATGCAAGCGAAACTTATTCTCCTCTGTAGCATCGACCGTACAACCATCAGCTCCTACCCAAACGTTGTTCTTTGGCCTGATATGTTTCTTGATATCTGATGAGTGAGGCTCAGCATCATTGTACCGAACCCAACTATACATAGAGCTCGAATCAATTCGAAATGGATAGCTAAACCAACAGGACAGAGAACCCCGATGGAGGCGGTGAAGGTTTCTGTGCGGGGCTTCCTTCTTTGTAAGAATTCACCGAGGAGCACATCTCCCTGGCCTCACATTGCCCGCAAAGAGAAACCAAGAAAATCCCAACGAAGGTATAGATTATATACGCTATAGACCGTTGCTCATTCTCGTTCGTTCATTACGTATTCGTTCCAGTAACAATTCTCGATCATGAAAAGGAATTGAGTACTATAGACTGGCCTTTGTTCCCTTTCCTAGTCTCTTTCCTATTCTCTTTATTATTATTCTTCCTAGGCTCCTTCCTATTCTCCTTCTCGTTCTTTTTTTTATTTATTCGTAGCGTATTCGTTATAGTAGCAATTTATAACAATTCTTTAAAGTAGCGGACTACTATAGACCGATCCTCATTCTCGTTCCTCTGTCAAGTATTCGTCCCCACAGTAACTCAGGATAATCAAAAGCAAATCAACTTAACGAACTCACCCCTAGCTAGCACATCCTCTACCACCTCAATCTCTACACTTCCAATGCCGAACGCCCCAACGGCCCCGATGAATCCTGATCCTGCCGACGACGAGAGCGACCCTGAGCTATTCGTCATGCAGGACTTTGTACCAGCATCGAACCTCACGAAACCACGGATTTAAATACTGAGAGCTTCCCCCTTCCCGTCCACCCCACCCCCGCCACGGAGCGACCGCCTCGGGCCCTACCAACCCCGCCACACCCCCCCGGCTGCGCCTCCGCCCCACATCGGCAGACGACCACGGCCCCCCGAGACGAGGGAAATTTTCTGTCCTTACTCCGGGAACATGACGTCAGCGTCTACTCTTCGGATTTTGCGCTCTCGGGCTCTGACCAAACGTCGGGCTGGGTTCATCGCAGTCTCGTAAGAAAAAATGCCATGGAGTTTCCGGCTGAAGTATCAGCCGATGTATCCGCAATGTTGTGCGTTTGTCACCAAATACCGCTTCTATACCTGTAAGCCCCACCTCGTCACCTGTAATCGCTTCTTGCTCATCATTCACTTATCAAGCATACAATGTTCATCTAGAGATAAAATTGAAATCTACAGAAAGGCCATATTCATTCCCCTCAAGTATGTGCACAGAATAGACAATATAATTACCACAAACCTCGGCCGTTCAGTTAGACGTCTCTTTTGCTCGTTTCCGTCCGAGCATGTCAAAACCCATGCAGGTATCGCTGTCATGATGCATATAGCCACACCCAATGCAATGCTATGCTGCTTTCACAGTCTATGCCGTCCTCATCACTCTCTCGTCTACTTGCGTCCTCTCGGCACCGTGCTCTCTGCAAATCGGATGCCTCTCCTCGTCGGGGGAACTCTCTCTCCACCTTCGTCATCTGAATCATCATCCTGATTTGAGCCGAGCGCAGCCTCCCTACGGCGTCTCTCAGCAGGCGTCTCTCCGCTGTCCAAATCCTCCTCGCTCTGGTTCGACAGAACCGCCAGTCTGCGCTTCTTCTCAGCAGCCGTCTCCTCGTCACCCTCGGCGTCTGCTTGTTGCGCGGGTGCCGGTGGCAAGGCTGGCGCCGTGTTCACCCGCTGAGGCGTGAAAGAGCCAGAACGTTTCTCGTTGGAATCGCTTCCAATCTTAATGGTCGGAATGTTGGCATGTCTGTCAGCCGGCGAAGGAATATCTCCCTTTGCAATTGACTTTACGCGCTGAGAAGCAGTGGACTGGTCCACAACCTGTCGCCGGGTCTTGTCGTCGAGCTTTTGAACTTCACGAATGAAGTCCTCCTTTGTCATGCGCTGGCCGACTCCACCAATCGTAAATCTGATGTGTCGGTCATCCTCCTTTTGACCTTCTGCAGCGTTCTTCGCGTTGCCGGCACCTCCGCCCAGGTATTTCTGCCATCCTGACTTTGCAGGTGTCTTCGCCGTGCCGTCGGCGCTTGACTCTCCGTTGTTTTCGTCTTCAGCCGCAGGCTTCTCCGATGCTTTTAGAAGACCTCCCATGCCAAGGTACTTAAGACTTTGCTGGGTAAGGCCTGTTCCAGGTTCCTTGGGAGCCTTTGACGATGGCAATTCGTAAGTCTTGATAACTTCTCCATCCTCATCTTCGACAATAATCTATGTACTTGTTAGTTTCTTTTCTCGTCCATCACCAATCTGGAGAAACTCACGGTATTGCCGAACTGGAAGGCTCGAGCTGGCTCATGCCGTCTATCGGCTTTGCTCTTCTCCTTGCGCTTCTCCACTTCTGACGTGTACACATCCCCGACCTTCTTTTTGAACGAATCCAGGGTCCAGTTGAACTTTTCACCTTGCTTTGAATGGGCAGCCGCAATAGCCGACATGTCGGTTTCGACTGGTACGCGATGATGAGCTTCAGCCTCCGCAACTGCCTCTGCTCTACTTTCAGAGCGCTCGACAGTCAGCACGTCTCCATCCTCATTCTCGACCACCAAGTTGTCTCCTTCCTCGTAGATGGAAATCTTGGGTGGCGTTTGCGTTCTGCTAGATCCCTCATCGGGGGATGGTGTGATCTCGTCGTCGTCTTTCTCCGGGTCTCTCGCGCGACCTCTTTCAGAGTCGCGCCTAGGGGTCGTAGTGCCTTCGGCGTCGGGTGATTGAGGGTCCTTCTCGTTGAGGAGCGGCTCGCGTTTAGTGGGGAAGATGGCGGATTGGGAAACAGGTCCGCCGGGCCCGATGCCATCGTCCCACTTGTTCTTCTTGCTGCTGCGTTTCCTTGAGGTTGATCGAGCGCGAGACTTCGTTCCGTCTTCGTCTTTTTGACGTCTCAAGAAAGCGCCAGGGAAGCCTACTGGGGGTAGAGTGCCGGGCGGGAACTCGGGCATCTTGAGCTCTTCTCCTTCGGTGTCGGACATGGTTCGGGCTTGCGATCGAGATTGCGACGAGATTCTCGGCAGGCGGTTCATCCAGGTAGGGCCGTCTTCGGGGGCGGTGGTGTAGGACATGGTGATTGTCAACGTGTTGATGCGCTTGCCGAGAGTGAACACGGCAACGGATGAGCCATGAACAATGATGGACGAAATGACTAGGAATGTCACGATGGGCCAGATGACCGCAACGAGTGTTCTGTGTTCGATATCTTCCGGCGGGGTGTCGGAAAGCGGCACGGGCGTCTCCCACTGCAACTCAGCGCGAGCTAGAATGGCGACGAAAATGGCACCGACGCCGATGGGACCAAAGTGACCAGCGAAAACTGCCTCACGCCAGGTTTTGATGTCCGGTATGAATGGCTTCAAGATAAGCATGGCGGGAATGCGTCGGAACAAGATGACGAAAATGGCGATTACAACCAAGCGCCAGGGGGTGATGCCCTCAGCGACGTTGTTGTACTGTTCCCAGGGGATGATGGTTCCGAGGAAGACGAAATATGCCAAATTGATCAATAAATCGATGACGTTGGACACGTGAGATTCTTCCGTCTTTGAGGAGAACCAACCGTCGTTTGAGAAACCTACACCGGCAGCGAAGCCGACTAGTAGATCGTCCATACCGAGCAGACTACCAGCACCGGCACAGAACAAAGCGAGCACGAAGTAGAAGACCAGGAAACTCTCCCGATCAATCAGATCGCGCTCCTCTGCAAACTTGATGCCGTGACGTGCGATGTAGCCAACGAGGAAGCCGAAAATGGCGCCAAAGATGCACTCATAGAGAATCGTGTAGACAATCCAGTGAAATGTCGTTTTCCGGGCATCCATGTGCTCCTGGATCAGGTAGATTCCGAGGTAGACGAAAGGGAAGGCCATGCCGTCGTTGCAGCCAGACTCTGCCGACAAAAGATCTCGCAAATGCTTGGGAACTCGCTTGGCGAATTTGCCCTTACCGACGACGGAAGAGGCCAAGACAGGATCGGTAGCAGTGACACAGGCGGCAATGACCAAACTCTCGAGCCAAGATAACGGGTCAATGAGCCACCAGATGAAGAGACTGACAATGAGCCAGCCAAACATCATGACGGGGATCAGCAGAAGAGTGACGGATCTCCAGTGCTTCTCCATGTAGAACTTTGGCAATTCGACACCGACGGCGAAACATTGGACGACGAGAACAATGCGGGAGAACTCGATGGTAACCAAGTCGACATTTCCCCAACTTTTCGGGTCGATCAGATTGGCGGCGTGGGGGCCAAAGATAATACCACAGATGGTGGCAACGGTAGCTTCACCAATGTACATCTTCTCCTTGATGATAGAGGAGCACAGCATGAAAAGTGTGGTGAAGCCGCCCAAGATGATGTACACCAAGTGCGGCTTCGTGATTGAGAG